AGAGAGAGTCGGCAAAATTTATCTCAGAGAGAGAGAGAGATGGAAATCGGAACAGTAGAAGAGGGGAGAGAGAGAAACCGAAATAAATAGCCATTCAAAAGTTAATTAATTAAATTATTAAATTTGGGAATTGGCTAATTAGAATTAGGATAGGATAGCCATTAAGAAAATTGAAATGAGCAAAATAGACATTCAAAAGTTTTGACAATGATTTTCTCTTTTATAAGTAGTATAGATTGGGTGATGGATAACTTCTGTCATTTTGGAATTATCTGGCTTACATACCATTTTGATCAAGTTCGACCTTGCAGCTTTGTGCATAGTTTATGATTTTATTATTTATTTATTTTTACTTTTTTCGGGGGTGGGCTTAACACTTCCTTTCATCCTTCTTTTGTGCAGGCAAACTGATAGTTGATGTATATACCTTTGCCTTTACTTTACTTTGTATATTTGTTTATTACTTTATTTCAAAATTTTGTTATTTGAAGTGGGTGGGGGTGGGGGGTGGGTTTGCAACATCGCCTTTCATCATTTTCCTCGTCTGTTCAATTTCCCTCTTGCAGTGCATTTAGCACTATGCCTTTCTGATTCTCATCAATAATCTATTCATCTTTTGATGCAGAGATGATGATTGGTGTATTCAAGGGAAAAACAACACCCTGTCCTTCCCATCATACTATATTGATGAAGATGTAATGACATCTGTAGTCATTTCATTAGGATGCTTCTGTTTCTATTTTCTAATTGTGCAACATCTGATATTTAATTTAACCATTCTTTACCATTCTTTTGCAGGCAGTTATATGTTTAGATGGTGACGGGTGCAAGATACGAAATGGTTTGTCAGTAGCTGAGGACGATTTAACTTTTGATACATCAATTGCTTGTGATTCATGTGATATTTGGTACGTAGAAGTCTGCGGTTGTGTTGTTTGATCTTGCTACATGATATTGCAATTTGGCAACCTGCAAAGTAAGATATATGTGGCACCATATGAAAACATTCTTTGCTCGTCTTTTATTAATTTGAGGAGATTAGGTTTGACCTTTACATGTGCATTCCGTGCCGGCATTATTCTATCATTTTTGATGCCATGGTGGGATTACCATATATAGGATGTCAATCTGATTCTTCCATTCATGGTGTTATTGCTATAATTTCTTCCTAAGGTTGCTATGTTCGACACAGGTTCCTACCAAACAAGCTCGATGACCAGTTTGCGAGAAAGAGCTATCTGTTGTGGTTGTGTTTAAAGTTCATGTTGCTACTATGATGTGAATCTCCATAACTCCCCTAGTCTCGGAAAAAGTCTTGACAAATGAAATGAAAACAGTAAAAGAAAAAGTCTTCATCCCAATATGTTGTGGTTAACTATATGAATTCTTTTCTTCCATTAGCTCTGTTGAAGGCCATCCTCAGTTTTATTTGCACTTCCTTTTTATCTGCCTGCATCCATCTTCAATTGGACTTCTCTCTGGTCCTTGTCATTCCATTAAATGTGATCTTATCACTCCATAAGAAAATTTCTTGAAAATCTTACCGAAGGTTCTTTCAATAGGAGTTCCTATAGGCATCAAGACACATGTTCAAATCATTCCAATACCATTCTAATCATTTTAGTCTTGACAGAATCTATTTCTAACTCTTGTGGTCACACACTTCTTTTTTATTTACTGAATATAATGCCACTCATATTCTTATTTCAGCTGTACTCATTTTTTGACATGTTGTCTCTTAATTGTCTTAAAATTTGGATCCATAGAGCATCACCAATCTTAATTCTGCCATTATAATTTTTTTTCTTCAAATTTAATGGGTACTGTGATGACATAATATTTTATAGCGCTTTTCTACTTTAAGCATCATGGTTTGGTTTATGAACCAAATCGTAATCAATCTTGCTACATAAATTATATACAGAGAGAATATAAGTCAAGTCACATGTGTTGCATGGAACTTCCTTGATGGGTCTACGCAGCCCCCTCATCTAAAATCGGTAGTATTATCACATTCGATTTTGACTTCTTACTTTATAAGCTGTAATTTTATATCTCAATCACAGGGGAAACTGAGCTGTTTTCCTAAGCATTTTATTTTGAGATTTCAGTGAAGACAGTTCTGGATGTGATGACATCCTCATGAAGTGCACTGTTTTCTGATAATTGCTATATCAAAAACTTGCACCCTTATATTTGTGATTCCTGAACATATTGACTAGTGTCCATTGTGTAACTGCTTTTTCTTCACTCAATTGATAACAACTTCTACCACCACCCACAAACACAAAAAAATCAAGTGCCGACCTTTTTTTTGTTGAATATTTATAATTTCTACAATTTTAGTACTCGAAATCATCTCTCTCCTTTTGATCGTGCATCAGCATCTGATTGTCTTTATTAACTGCATTCATGCATGGTCGCAGGTATCATGCTTTTTGTGTTGGATTTAATCCTGAATGTGGTACATCTGAAACTTCATGGTTGTGCCCAAGGTAATTTGGTGTATGATTTTCTATTGTCCTCATTGGGTTTGAGCTCGGAACTCTTCTCAAGTTGCACTTAGACCAGTGCTGCATTTGGATAATTGCTTCAGTGTAGAACATGGCTTCATTTCTTTTCCCACTTTGGAATTTGATCTGATAGGTGCATAACTGATGAAGCCCCACAAAAATCTCATGAGGCTCCATCACAAAAGTTGGGTGACCATTGTGTTTTGAGCGCCGACTCTGGATGGACATGTGAGCCTTCTTTTTCATCAAAGGTATCAGTGTCTGTTGCTGATGACGGAGAGACAGCTGTTGTGGTCTCAATGGTTGGAGGACAAGAGAATCCAGAACATAATCCAGAGCATATTAAGACCACTCTCTCAGAAGTTGAGCAAGCTCATAACACAGATGAAGTTGAAATATTTCTTTCTGATTCAAGTTCTGGCAACACTAAACTTGACGTGCACAAAGAAACTAGTGGCTGCATTGAACTTGTAGATAACAGCTTAATTTACTGCAATGAGAAGGGTTCCAAAGCCAGCCCTCCAGAAAATTATAAGAATTCTGAATTTCTTTTGGATATACCAGAACTTCCATCCATTGAAGACACAACATCAGAGTTATGTAGAAGTCAAGAAGATAACCGTGTGCAAGCATCATTAACAGTATCAGCAGCAGAGGCTGTATCATGCCAATCATGCTATGCAGGGACAGCAGGTGAGTTGAAAACTGATACTGTAGATGGAATAACACACAAACCTTTGGCTTTTGATGAGGCTGTGCTTCCAACTAGTCTGTTATATAACACTTCTGAAGCTAAGAGTCAAATTTCTAGAAGCAAATCTGATACCCCTTGTCATCTTGATCTGTCTGTATCCACATCATCCGGTGGACTATGGAAACTTATGTCTTCAAGTCATTTGCTTTTCTATTTATATCCTCATATCACTTCCTTCAGAGTCTCAGACACACAAGTCCATTTTGACTTGTTAAATTTCTTTATTTGTGAGCTTAATCTAACTTTTTTCCAGGGTTAGGTGACGAGTTGAGTGGTGTTGATGAAAAGTATCAAGTTCCTGGAAGCAGTAGCAAGGTTTTTTCAGAAAGAATCATAGCAGGTAGGCACTCTATCACATAAAGATTTTGATCTATTAAAGGAATAGCTTTGAGTTCATGGTCTTACCACTGAATATCAGTCTGTACTCTTCTTTATCAGGCCCCTTAGGGCCTGTTTGGTAGGCAGGGACTCCATATCTATAAAAGAACTTTAACTCAGGGTAGATATATAGCCACTTCATGTTAGTAACTGACCTGGTGCACGCAAACATGGTGTCATTGACCTTATGGTGCTCCCAAACTCTAGCTGGCTAGTTTCTCGTTCACATCACAGTGAGTCTTTTTTGGATCTTAGAGCAGGGGCTACCAAACAGACCCCAAATCTTTTATAAACAATATCTGTCCTAAGAGTATGCTTTTGTTATTAGAGATAAAATGAGAATTGTACATAAATATAGCTGTTGCTTTTCCTCACACAAACAGATAACTGGCAGCCTTTAGAAATTTTTGTACAGTTTCTTTAGGTGGTGCCTTTCTAGATAATTATTGGCGTAAATCTCTGACAATAAAATGGTTCCACACAAATGACCAATGTGTGTCTTTTGGCTGTCTGAGGCACCTCCCTATGGTTGTAAAGACCCAGTTAATGAGTTTCTCAAAATGATAAAGATGAGTATAGACAATGGATACAGTCCTTGAGTTGCTTTTTTTGTTAATTATTTTCAATAGACAGGACAACTTTGAACAGTGGCAAAGATATGGCTGATCTACCACTAAGGCATCATCAATTAAGTAATTTGGTGGGAGATCCTAAAGAAAAGATGCAGCCACATGTGACAGGAGAATCTACAGAGGACATGATCAATGTGCCTCCAAAGCATGTTGAATTCAATAATTTGGTGGGAGAACTGACAGAGGAGATGCAACCACATGTAAAGTAAGGATTTTCCTGTTGCAATTCCTGTACCAATTAAAATAATATTTTCCCATGTTTTCGATGCTTTAAGCTGCACTATATGCCCTTTGTGGCACCACTTCTAGTTACTCATATGAGTGTCTGCATAATTTGATATACTGTAGTATGATACAAAATCTGAGGTTAAGATTGTTTTTGGCTGGTCCAACATCTTAAGGACAGTTCTAACGTGCAGTTTAAGTAAGGATTTAATAATGAGTTGACTCTATTTATTCAGTCTTCAGTTGCTCTTTATTTCTTAAATTTTCTATATAATGTAGTATAATTGTAGGAACTTTGATCTGTGGGGAGCATCTGCGTTTCTGGTTTTAAAGCATTCATATGCATGCACAGGGATACTTCAGCGGACAGATTCTTTGAATGTAGAAGAATAATGACCCTGTGAACTATTTGTAACTATATCCATATTCATATAGTATGCCTACGTGCATTTATATACAATTTACATATACCAGAACACAACTTACATGGTAATTTAAAATGGAAGGAAAAAAGTGATCTAAATGCACCTCTTTACCA